AGAAGCTCTGTGGAAAGCTGGGAGACACAAACAAATGAGCTATGCGCATGGCTGATTTCTGGCTCATGGAAAAGGACTTGATCCCAAAGCTGTTTCAAGTACTAGCCCCTTGGTTCCAAGTTCAGAATGGGAGCTACCCAAGAAAGCTTCAGATGCCAAACAGCAGTGAACAGGATGGGGCCAGGATCGCAGTGATCCAATAAAAAGGGATCGGCCTCCTGCCCTGCTCTGCCTTGAAGAGACAGCAACCTTACACTTCTACGCCAGTTGCTGCAGGTCCTGCAGCAGGACCTCCACCAGACCCAGGAAGCAAGCCTCAGCAGCTCCCACACACTCAACCACCAAGGGTCTAACTGGAGCAGGAAGGCCTGTGACTCTCTTCAATGCCTGTGATCACAGGCCTTTGGAGCTCTTTTAATGTCTGAGTTCAACATCTTGGTTCTACCACTTTTTGTTTGTCTGTGGAACTAGAATTGTAAAATGGACAGTCCAGATGGGGCCCAGAACCTTCTGGGGAGCCACATGGCCCTCTCTTTGCACAGCCAGAAAATTCCTTACATGAATATATGTAAATTTTTCTTTTTGTCTTCCCCTAGGATTTCTAGAAAATAATAATTATCAAAATGCTTGGTCATCTGGGATAATAAATTCATGGATAATGTTTCTGGATTATTAAAAAAAGTACAAATAACAATAAATGTTGGCAAGGATGTGGGGGAAAGGCACACTCATACATTGCTGCTGGGACTGACTGCAAATTGGTGCAACCATTCTGGAAAGCAGTATGGAGATTCCTCAGAAACCTTGGAATGGAACCACCATTTGACCCAGTTATCCCACTCCTTGGTGTATATCCAAAGGAGTTAAAATCAGCATGCTATAGTAATGCAGCCACATCAGTATTACTAGCAGCTCAATTCACTATAGCTAAGCTATGGAACCAACCTAGGTGCCCTTCAATAGATGAGTAGATAAATAAAATGCAATATATATATATATATATATATATACACACACACACACACACACACACACACATATACACACACAATGGAATATTACTCAGCCATAAAGAAGAATGACTTTATGACATTTGCCAGCAAATGGATGGATCTGGAAACTATCATGCTAAATGAAGTAAGCCAGTCCCACAAAACCAAAGGTTGAATGTTTTCTTTAATAGGTAGACACTAACCCACAATAATGTAGGGGGTGGTTTGAGGGAAGGAATAGAAATAAAATAGATTAGACAATGAGGAATGGAGAAAAGGTGGGGGGACAGGAAAAGAAAAAAACAGTGGAATGAATCTGACATAGTTTCCCCATATATGAAAACAACAAAGTGAATACCACCATCATGTACGACCATAAGAATGAGACTCAAACTAGAATAGGATATATTCCATGTGTATATAATTATATGAAAATGGATCTACTGTCATATGTAACTAAAAAGAACCAATAACAAAATTCCCAGTGCAGGGGGTCAGGAGAGAATGAAAAAAGAAAGACGGGGCATGGGGTTATGTGTCTACAGTTCCAGCTACTGAAGTAGAGAAATGGGACTGTGGTGGGACAATCACTTGAGCCCAGGAATTCAAAGCCAGAGGGAGCAACATAGCATAACCTCATCTTCAGTAAATGAATAAATATATAAAAATTTAAAAAGAAAGCCATATTATCTATAGTAGTAATTCAAAGCAAGGGTTCTAGCAGGGTGCATTGTCACATGCTATAATCCTTGAGACTTGGGAAGCTGAGGCAGAAGGATTGCTAATTTGAGGCCTCAGCAAATTAAGGACATTCTCAGCAATTGAGCAAGATCCTGTCTCAAAATTTAAAAAAAAAAAAAGCTGGGGATATAGCTCAGTGGTAAAGCACCATTGGGTTCAATCTGCAGTGCAAAATAATAATGAAAACAAAGTTTCTGGCCAGACGGTCTGAGTTCAACATCTTGGTTCTTCCACTTTCTGTTTGTTTGTGGTACTAAGGATTGAGCTTGATGGGCCCTTGCCGCTGAGCTACATCTCCGGCCGTCTTTTTTTATTTTTTTGAGACAGAGTCTCCCTAAGTTACCCAAGCTGACCTCCAACTTGTGATCCTCCTGCATCAGCATCCTAAGAAGCTTGGATTATAGAAGAAGGCCACGAGGCTTAGCTCTACCACAGCTTGTGAGCAAATTACTTAATTCTCTGAGCTTCTGTTCTCTGGGTGCCTCGAAGATAAGTGTAAGATAATAGTAATATCTATCTTTTCATCTATAAGATAATAGTAGTTGTTAGGTTGCTGGCGACTTAGTAGCAACTTAGAACAAAGCAGCCCTCACCAGAAAAGAACATCAATCAGATGCCGGTGGAAACACCTGTCAATCAGCCAGATCTCCTGACTAATGCCTGTCAATCAGCAGGACCCCCTGGCCAATCCTGGAGTTCAGCCAACTCCCCTGACCAACTCCAAGGGGGCAAGAGACCCTAGGAACACCTTTTCCTGTTCCAAGCCCTTCCCTTCCTGCTGAAAGCCCCATAAAAGTCCAGTCCGGTGGTCCAGCTTCCATGCGGTTTCTCCTCAGACCCTTCCCCTGTCCCCTCTATGGATCTGATCAAGTTCTACCCGGGAGTGATATCTCAATAAAGCCTGTTCAGCGGCCCTTTTAAATCTGCCTCCTTTGGTTGCTGCCTGCCCAGCCTGATCTGACAGTAGTATCTATCTTTTAGGGCTGCTTTGACAATGATGATGGTGGTGGTGATACTGATTTTGGTGCTGGGGAGTGAACCCAGGGCCTTGCATGTGCTAAACACTTACTCTACCACTAAGCTACACAGCCAGCTGATGCTAAGCACTCCAAAATGTTGACTAAGAGAAGAAAACACATATCTACTTGTATTTTTCACCCCCTCTGGATCTCTCACAGTTTCCAGGTTGATCCCTCTGAAGAAACACCTTCCCCTTCACCACCTAATTCCGATTTAGGACTCAACTTAAATACCTTCCCCCAGCAAGTGTCCCTCTTATATAAGGCTGCTGTTTGTTAAAAGCTTTTATAACACCCATTACTCCTTTGTAATGCAGCGCTTATCTTAGTCTACATTGTCTGTGTGTGTGTGTGTGTGTGTGTGTGTGTGTGTGTGTGTGTGTATGTTAACCTGACTCCCCCCTCCTTTTTTTGGTCTTGGGAATTGAATCCAGGGACACTTAACCACTTAACCACTGAGCCACAACCCTAGCCCTTTCCATTTTTTGAGACAGGATCTTGCTAAGTTGCTTAGGGCCTCAATAAATTGCTAAGGCTGGCCTTGAACTTACGATCCTCCTACCCCAGACTTCCAAACTGTGGGATTATAGGCTTGCACCATCGAGCCTAGGTCACCCAACTCGGTGTAAACTTCTTTAAGGCAGAGGCTGAGTTTTTTCAGTTATTTAGCCTCAACCCCTCTCCCCTGCCTAGCACTCAGCAGCTCACACTAGCCCCAGGCATCCCTTAACTACATCATATCTCCTCCAACTCCTGGAACCAAGCACCTGAACCCTCTGTGGCTATGCTGTCCCCTCTTACCTTCAGCTACCATTTGACACCCCACCACCAAAGTGCCTTCTAGCTGGACCTCAGAACCCCTTTTTGGTGCCCCTACCCAGTGGTGCCAAGAAGCCTGCACTGGCCTGCCCCACCCTGCAACATGGTCTAGGTGTCTTGTGGAGCCGCTGTCTTGTCTCTGCCTTGGTTTGCCTCAGCTAAGACAGCTTTCCCAACAGGATCTCAGGGCCAATTTTGCTTCCAGCGCAGTATGGCTTCTACCCATGTGTGTGTGATCTCCCATAAGGACACCATCTTCTGGAAGACTGTCTTATATTCAAGTTCTCCTCAGGACCAAAGACAAGGGCATCTTCTTCCATTTCTATGTGTACAAGTCTCCCAGGTGACAGCTTCCTGCATGCTTGGCCTGAGGGCCACACATGGCTCTGATTCATTTGCAGAAGGAGCAGAACATAAAGTCCTTGGGGAAGGTGGGCACTGCCTGGGTCTCCATGGGGCTCTCAAGAGCAAGGCTAGTATTGCCTGGGAGCCTGTATCACCCTGAAGGGACCATCCAGCTCATCCACTAATTCTCCCTAGTGTTGAGACTGGGGTGGATTCAGCAGAGAAAGGAGAATAGAGGTTAGTGGCTCAGACAGTCCACCATGCGACCAGCACACTGGTTTCATTAATAAGGTTCTTGGCATAAAAGTTAGCTAGCAGAGATCGAAATAAAACACACAGACTCAGTTACCTTTTTCTATGACCAGGTCGGAGACGGCTCCCCTCTCTGGCTCCCACCTCGAACCACCCGTAGGGCAGCAAGGATTATTCAGGGCTAGCAGGAGAGAGAGAGAGTGAGCACACCAGGGAGTAGCCTTTTATTGGGGAACAAGAAATTCAGGGGAGAATTCCATCCAATGAAGGTTGAGGGGGGCCACACTCCAAGGTCAGGGTCAGTGATTGGGGCCCCGGGGTCAGTGGTCAGTCACACCCCCACACGAAGGGTTCTCTCATCAGGAGAGGCCCGGGAAAGCTCTGACACAGCCAGAACACCTCAGACCCAAACCAGGAGTCTCCCAGTCACGTATGAGAATGGCTCTCCACAAGACAGTATGGAAGAAACAGAGCTGGGACCCAGCTGGAGTGTCCTATGGACAACACTGTTGTGACAGTGTCTGTGCTTTCTATATTGTCCTTGTGCATTTCCACCCTGAAGTTTCTGGGAAAGGCCAAGCCATCTCTATTATGCTAGTGGTTTAAGCTTGGCAGAGGGTTGGGGTTAAGGGCTCAGGTGCTCCAGGAGGCAGGATATCCCCTGGGGGCTAGTGTGATTGGAATTAAAAGGATGGAGTTAAGGGGTGGGGTGAGAACCCTGAGCCTGTCTTGAAAACCTGCTCCCCAGTGGCTGCCCCACACCCCAGCTCTCCTCAAGCTCTCTTTGCAGAATGAGTGGGGCATCTGTAACAATGCTTGCATGTGTGACCCTTAAACACCCTCACTTCCTGGAAGTTTTACAGACTTTCCTAATCTGCAGGGGAACAGTGTCAATCACATGAAAATTCTGTCAATAACAAGGAACTTCTTTTAGAAGCAGAGATGTTTTCTCCTGAGGCGCTGCAGGAATGGGTGTGTGGGGACGGAGGTCACTGCTGTGACAGGGACAGTCTGCAGCCATAAGGCTGAAAGGCTTCATTCCCAAGGTCCCAGGTAAGGAAAGAAACCCGGGGGTTATAGCCTGAGGGAATCATCCTGCACAGCCTCCCCACCCCCAGCAAGAGTAGGAGGATGGCGCTGCAGTGATGGCAAGGCTGACTGCTTCCTGGTGCGGGGAATTCGCTGCAGTGATGGGGGAGCGTCGCTTGGAGTGAGTGGTCACTGAAGTGACCACAACTGCTAAAGGTACCTGCAGAAGTGGGGGAGGTTTTCTGCAGTAATTAAAGAGCATTTTGCAGAAGAAAGGGGCTGGCTTTAGGGGGGAAGTGTCCTACGGTGATGGGGCGCTGGGGTTCGCTGCAGTGTGAAGGGAGGGTCACTGCAGTGGTGGGAAGCCTACTCAGGGCGGGGTGTGGGTGGGCAGGGTAGGGTGATAATGGGATGGCTGGGGTCGCTACAGGGGTGGGGGGTGCAGACTGAGCGGCTCTGCCGCGCTCGCAGGCTGCCTCACCTCCCCAAGGATTGAAGGGGTGGGGCCTCTGAGGCATCGGTCCCTCGCTGATGGGGGCTGTGCGGCGGCGGGTACGCGGGCCCCGCACTGCGGTGCACTGCCTGGCTCCCGCCGCCGGGGCTGGAGCTGAGGCAGTACCGCGCCTGCAGGAGGGGGAGCGCGGCCCAGTCGCAGCGGCGGGCGGGGCTGAGGCGGCAGAGTGGGGCGGCCTCTGGGAGCGGGGGCGGGACCACCACCAGCACTGCCCGCGCCCCAGCTAGGATCACAGCGACCGCCGCCGGAGTCCCAAGCCGGCTTTCCGAAGGTGCCGGAACTCACTGCGAACCTGAACTCGGAGGCTGCACAACCCACCCTTTTCGGATCGCGACGCCCAGAACTCCGCGGAGGAGCCACGGTGAGATTGGGACTGCCCGCAGGGAGGGGGACCGATCCTAAGTCTCAGCCCCCAGCATCCTCTGTGGAGACCGCGGCGACTGCAGCAGCTCCCCACTCCCAGATCAGCTCTGCCAGAGTGGGGAGAGGTGCACTGGATGGATCGCACAGACTCCCCCTGCTCCGACGCCTTTCTCGTCTGGCCTCCCAAAAGACCCCTTCTTTTCGCTTCCCTGTCTCATTCTTTTTACCCCAAACCCTCCATTCAGGTCTGCAGCCCTTTGCTGCAGATAAGGTACAGGAGAGACTGCAGCCTTTTCGACTCCCCATCCTCTCCTGTCCCTTGCTGGGCTGGGGGCACCCGGGAGGATGCTGGGCCTTTAAACCTTTGATCCCCACCCCGAACGTCTTCCACCTCCACCCGCGCCACTTCCGACAGCTGGCAGCCACGGGGAGCCCCGGGGGGCCCGCAGGTACAGGGGCGGTGGTGAGGCCCCAGCGGGTGATGGAACAGCTGTGACAACCCCCTACCCCCACCCCCAGAGGAGCCAGCGGCGGGACTGTAGGGCGCCGGGAGTGCCGGTTAATCATTAACCCTCCGCTCCCCGGGACCCCGTGCTGCCCCGAGCTGCGCTCCGCCCGGCTTCCCAGGTAACGGGCAAAGCTGTCCAGGCCGCCATCCCTACACCTCCCTTTCTTGTCTTCCCTGCCACCTGTCAGCCTGGGAAAAGCCGCGCGGCTCAGCCTTGTGCCCCTTGCAGGCACGCGTCCTAGTGCTTGAGTTCAGCTCTGGAGACTGGCTTTCAGGAGCTCCGGGCGCGGCACACGGGACTTGCGTTGCACACGGGCTTCACGATACCCCGCTCCCTTAGGGCTGACCGGTGGGCACCATGCCCGGCCTCTACTGCCCCTCCAGCTGGACGCCGCTACCCCTCACTGACTCCTGGGTCCGGGCCTGCGCCAACGGACCCTGCCTCAGCCTGCGGGCTCGGCTCACCTACCACAACCCGCAGCCGCAGCCAGTGGACGGTGAGGCCGGGCGCGGGCGCGGGGAGGTGGGAGTGGGTGCCGGGTGGGGTCCGACGCCGCCTCCTGCCCTCCCCTCCCTGCAGGCGTGTTCGTGTACCCGCTGGCTGAGGCCGAAGTAGTATCAGGCTTCGAGGCCGAGGCGGCCGGACGGCGCGTCTCCTTCCAGCTGCAGAGCCGGCGCCGTTTGCAGGCTGCCTGCTGCCGCGCGCTGGGCCCAGGGTTGGGGACCTCCACGCCCCGCCGCTGCGCGCAGGGTGAGTCCCGGGCGCCTGCAGCCCGAACTCCTGAACACCAGCGGAAGCTCAGGTTCCTGCCCTTGCTCAGTCTCCTGCCCCTCCCCCACCTTCATCCAGGCGCTTTTTTGTTGTTTTTTCATTCATTGATTCATCCCTTTATCCAACAGTCGTGGACTGGGCACCTGCTCTGGGAATGTGGCCCAGACCTGGGAGACAGACACAACAGGCGGCACAAAGCTGGCTGAGACACCACCCGTCCTTACTACCCAGGTGGCCATAGGCTCTCCAGGGTGTGGCAGAAGAAGCAGACCTGCCCCCAGCTGACCCCCACAGCCGCTCATCTTTTACATTACACACCTTCTCTGCCAGGGCGGTGTAAACCAGTCAGCTCCTAGATCAAGTGCAAACTTCTCTATCCAGTAGCCTAGGTTCTCATTCATTACATTCTGTTCCTCTTGCCGCGATCCTATACTAGGTACCACAGGCACTGGCCTTACTGACAAGTCCTTTTACACCTCACTGTTCTATCTTCCCATCTTCTAATGAGCACATTTGTACTTGTCCTTTAAGATCCACTCAATCGTTACTCTTGAGGAAACCTGCCTTTACTTCACAAATAATTAATTGCACTCTTCCCTTCTCCCCCCAGTCTTCCTCCCTTCCTCCCACCTCATTACAGCACTTATTAGGGGGAGTAATTGTCACAGGCTTGCATGTCTTATCTCCCCCTTTGAAGAATTATCTCCTGAGTTTAGGAGTGGTTTTGGCCATCTCTGAGTCCCAGTATATCACACAGAACCTGGCATAAAGGGGCTCAGTGAGTTCTATGGGAGGAGATGGGAGTCCAGCTCTGGGCTAGGTTCTGTGGCTTGCGTGTCATTCTTTCCTTTGTTCATTCATATATTCATTGACCCTACCCATGGGATTCACCATCTAGATAAGAAGAGAGAATCCAGTGATGTTCAGAGTTGGCATATGCCCTGCAGATAGTTAAAGGCAAAAGTGAGTTCTGGGCTCAGGCCCCAGGAATGTTCCAGAAGGAAGAAGAGCCAGCATTTGACTGAAAGAAGGTTAGGGCTTGGTGGAGTGGAGAGTAGAGGCAATGGTATAAACAAAGGTTTGTAAGTAGGTTATACAGGGAATGGTGATACGATGCCTCAGGTTTGTAGTGATTTACAGTTTACAAAGCCCAGGCACTAGTATCACCTTATTCGAATCTGAGAGAGGTATGTAATGTACATTGTTCCTGTCCCCCTTTTATAGGTGATGAAAATGGTAGCAATGGCTACTTACTTGTATGTTGGGTCCTTTGCATACATTATCTCATTTATTCCTTACCACAGTCATCGAGAGATAGTTATTATGACCCCCATTTTATGGATGAAAACACCGAGGCTCCTAAGATGGTTGTTAGAGGACACAATTAGAAATCACAGACTGAGACTCCAAACCCAAATGCTGTACTCTCTCCACTGTATTAGGTCTCTTTTTCTTCACTTATTCAGCAAGTATTTCTCAAAAGGATGAATATTTATTATTGTGGGGAAGTGAAGTAAAGTAGGGCTATAAAGGTGGACGGGGGCAGACTGTGTAGGTGATATAAGCGCCCAGCAGCAGTGGTGACTACCCCTACAGTCCTCAAATGAACCTACCATCTAAATAAAACATGTGCTCAGCATGCAAATGCGGTTTATTTCCTCTAGTCTGATTCTAAGCAGATTGCTGTCTTTAAGCTCCTCTCAGGGAGGAAAAGTCTGGAATTATTTTAATGGGCATGAGGAGTCCCTGATGGTTCATTAGCAGGGGATTTGTGGGTCCTAGATGTAAGGAAAGTGTTGGTCCACAAGGGAGAGTCCTTTAGAAAGATGGAATCCAAAGGCTGAATGGGAAGGTGCAGGCAGGGCAAGAGAGGCAGATGGTATAGTTCCCCCAGGATCTTGAGAATGGATATCCTCCTTCTCATCAATCCTCCTTTAGCAGTGAGGTCATTGCTCCCTTGCATGATGATAGCTAGATCCCTCCATGCCCAAACTGCCTCTGCTATCACTGTTCATCTCACGTGTCCATCCTGCATCACTAACGCATTAACACAATCTCCTGTCGACTGTACAAAGTCCACTTTGCCCAGACTCCCTGACTCATTGCTGATCCCACCTCTATTTTCTCCCATTCCCTTCGTTTCCAGCCCCCTCTGATCCCTTTTCTCACTCATCATAGGTCATCTTGTCTTGGATCTGGCCCAGGCCCGGTCCACGTTGGTGCTGCCCACGGGCCTTATCGCTGCAGCTGGCACCATGACAGTGACCCTGTGCAGCAGCCGGGAGCTGCCCTCCAGGCCTGATGGGGTACTGCGTGTGGCTCTGCCCACTGTGCTCACCCCGCTGGCCCCACCAGGCCCACCAGGGCCCCCCAGGCCTCCGGGGCTCTGTGACGACAGGTTGGGCCTATGGTGATTCTCTTCGTCCCTCCCTCGGCTTCTCTGGGTCTAGTGCGGGTGAGGGGTCTCAGCACGATGCCCTGGGAGATGGATAGGGTGAAGAAGGGTGGGGGCAATCAGTCAGAGGGGCTAGGGGCCTTCATGGTGGCCCAGTGACCCTCCTCATGCTCCCTTCCAGCCCCACGAGCTGCTTCGGGGCAGGCAGCCCTGAGGAGGAAGGGCTGGCCTGGGAGGAGCCACCTGCCCCTCCAGACGTGTTTTCAGGCCCTGCCCGCTGTCCTGCCCCATATACTTTCTCCTTCGAGATGCTGGTGACTGGGCCATGCCTGCTGGCAGGTGGGTGCATCTGACCTGGCCTGACCCATCCATCCCCCTATAGCAGACTAGGAAATAAAGGTAGAGCATCCCCTGGCCATTCTACCCAACCTAGTTTTATTAATGTAGTTTATTTATATCCAACTCCACTCACCAATGGCAAGAGAGAGATTTACTATGGGACCAGTCTCAGTGCTGAAGTGGATCTTTTTTGTGCAAGAGATGGAGAAGAATGCTAATTGGCTGGTGTATAATCCTTTCACTAGCTGTGATCAGACCTGAGAACACATGTCCCAGCCCATGGAAATAGATTCTCCCTTGTCCATCAGACTCTATAGATCAGATTCCAAGAGCTGAACTGGACCAGCCATAGTCCCAGCCCACAGCAACTGTCATCAGAGAAGGAGATATCTGTGACCTTAACACTGGTTTGGGGTGAGATGGTCATCATTCCTCCTTGCCTTTCTGTCCCTCAGGCCTGGACAGCCCGTCTCATGCCCTGCGGGCAGATGCCCCCCCTCATGCCAGCTCTGCAGCCACCATCTGTGTCACACTGGCAGAGGGTCACCTATGTGACCGGCCCTTGGAGATCCTGCTATACCCCAGTGGTGAGAGACACGGACCCACAGTGGGCCAGCCCTGACCTCCTTAGGAATAACCTAAGCAGTTTTCAAGTATAAATTTTTGGGCCCCAGGTAGATGGACTGAATCATCTCAGTGAGGGTGGTGCAAGGAGGCCGGACCTGCAGGGTCCTCTTAAAACAAGAGGACTGGATAGTTGAGGAAGTCCACGGGCAGGGACTTCCCTGACAGAGTTATATCCCCTCTTCTCAGAGCCCCATCAACCACACTTGATACTGGAGGCTGGCAGCCTGAGTGCATCAGAATATGAGGCCCAGGTGAGGGCCCGCCGGGATTTCCAGAGGCTGCAGCGAAGGGACAGTGATGGGGACCGGCAGGTATGGCTTCTGGCCTTCACGATAACTGCACATATGCATGACGAGCAGGCAAGCAGTAGCACCTTGGGAAGGGTGGGGCCTCTTTTTGTCTCAGTCCAGCCCACTATGGGACACATGAGTATCATCACAGGAGGACCCACATAAGTCTCTCTAGGATATGTCTCAGAGGATGGAGACCACGTCTGACATAGGCATAGTTCAGCCACCTGCCTTTTCCCCTGACTTTATTCAGATCACTACAAAAAGGCACCGTCTCTAAGTGAATCAGATAGAAACAGGGCCAAGTCCCACTGCCTACCTTGGATAGATCTGCACTAAAACCTGGCCCAGTTTGATTTGGGGCTCCTGCGCTTAGGTGTGGTTCCTGCAGCGACGTTTCCATAAGGACATCTTGCTGAACCCTGTGCTGGTACTGAGTTTCTGCCCGGATCTGAGCTCCAGGCCTGGACACCTGGGCACAGCTACCAGGGAGCTTCTCTTTCTGTTGGATGGCAGCAGCGCAGCACACAAGGCTTGTGGGGATTGTGCAGCAGCCCTGGGTTTGGGTGGGGCAGCAGTCTGAGGTGGGCTGGAGGCAGGCTCTCAATGCTGGGAGTTGCCTTGTTGCTTAAAACATCAACTTTGGAAAAGAACCTGACAGAAACTCCTTAGAGATATATCCCTTAGAGAGTGATCCTTTCCCAACTGTCCTCCTCCCTGGCTCCAGTCTCTCTTTCTCTTATACAAATATTTGTCTCTTCTGGATTTGAAGAGCTTCTCTCCTGTACAGTCACATTGAGACCTGATCATAGAGACCCAGGTTTCACACATGCCTGCAGAGTCCCATATATAAATGTGTCTCACATACATTCAGAGGCTGCCTCACACTCCCAAGGTCCCACAGTCACACACTCAGGCCTCTCCTAGGTGACTTCATCCAGACCTCATTTTAATCATGGCCTGGAGAAGGCAAGCATTTTGGAGTTCCTTGTTCTCTGCCAGTGCCTGTAGGACCTGCCTCATGCTGCCCTCTCTGGCCTTCTCCAGGATGCCATTGTTTTGGCTGTGAAGTCCCTCCCAACTCAGACACTTGTCAACCTGGCCATGTTTGGGACTTCAGTGCAGCCACTCTTCCCAGAGAGCCGGTCTTGCAACGATGTGAGTGTGGTCCAAGGATTTGGGGCCCTTACAGAGATGTTTCAGGCCAACCCAGCCCAGCCTTGCCTTCTCCCTCCAGGACACTGTGCAGCTGATCTGTGAGAGCATTGAGACCCTGCAGGCTGGGAGTGGTCCCCCAGATATACTGGCTGCGCTGGACTGGGCCTTGGGGCAGCCCCAGCAGAAGGCCCATCCTCGCCAGCTGTTCCTGCTCACTGCTGCCTCGCCCATGGCTGTCACTACTCACCAAACCCTGGAGCTCATGAGGTGGCACAGAGGGGCAGCCAGGTATGGAGTGGGCAGAGCCAGGTGCCTAAGATTGATCCCTCTCCCCAAAAGGCTTCTGAAGGTCATAGCTGCTCCCCTTCCCTGTCAGGTGCTTCTCCTTTGGGCTGGGGCCTGATTGCCACCAGCTGCTCCAGGGTCTGTCTGCCCTCAGCAGAGGCCAGGCCTACTTCCTGAGGCCTGGAGAGAGGCTGCAGCCCATGGTGAGTTTGAGCCTGGATCCTGTTCTATATTTTTAGAAATCCTCCTAAATTATACATCAAATCTGAAATAGAACCTAGTCAGGCCATGGGGTCTCTTGGTACCCTCACTAGGACTTCTCCCTACTCTAAACCTTCCTCTCCTTGAGGAGATGCCAGCCAGGAGAAGAACTGTTGATACTGCTGTGGGATGCTGTGGAAGACGAAAGATATGCGGACACAGCATCTGACTATCCCCCAAATCTTACTCAGTTTTGTTTTGCGTCTGAGCCTTATCCTCATGAAGTCTTGATTCATCCATGTGGCAAAGCTCAGGCCAGGAGAAAGATCAAGCCCCCAGGACTAAGCTCTCAGTCCCCTTGCTTGCTTCTACCCCTATTACTTCTCCTGACCCCAGACTAACTCTGTTCTCCATCAGCCCAGAGTTAGACAAAGGGCAACTGGGGAAAGGTAGCCTGCCTGAACTGTCTGGATGTGACACTCCTTTCTGATTTCCTCCCTCTGGTCCCTCCCCACAGCTGGTGCAGGCTCTGCGGAAGGCACTGGAGCCTGCTTTGAGTGACATTTCTGTGGACTGGTTTGTGCCTGATGCCGTGGAGGCTCTCCTGACTCCCAGGGAAATCCCAGCACTCTACCCTGGGGACCAGCTGCTTGGTTACTGCTCACTCTTCAGGGTGGATGGCTTCCGGCCCCACCCTCCAGGGGTAGGCCTGGGCTAGGTGTGATAGATGGACCTGGGTGGCTGAAGTCCCTGCATCTCTTCAAATTCCTTATTCCCTTTCCTATCTCTCTCTCTGCCAAGCTCCCCTACTGTTCCCTAGGGTCCCAAAGAGATCACATTGGGATCTCCAAGGTAACTACATCTTGCCCCCCTCATGAGGTCTTCCACTGCCTTATAAAATGTTGCCCTTAGTTTTCACCAGAAGTCATTAAAACACATAGCCACCAAAAAACTCCAGCATTTGCTGTGAGGTTTATGTTAAAACTTGCTCATTACTTCAAACAGTGCCTTACAGAAAGCATCATTTGGGAGCTGGGATGTAGCTCAGTGATAGAGTGCTTGCCTAGCATGCATGAGGTCCTGGGTTTGATGCCCAGCACCACAAAAATAAAATAAAACCCACATCTAAACACTCAGTGACAGATGAGCTTAGTGTAGGTGCAATCTCAAATCCCAGCTCTGCCACTGGCTAGCCACTTGATTTGGGCAAGTCACTTAACTTCTTTGTGCCCATTTCGTCCTATGTAAATTAAGTTTTTCATAGGTACAATGCCCTTAGCATGATATTTAAAACATAATAGGAATGTGAGGAAAAGTAGGTTCTTTTTTTTTTTTTTTTTTTTTACAAAAAAAACCCTCTTTCTTCAGAACTAAACATGCTTCCTCCTTTTTTGACTATGAGAGTTATATAATGGTTTTTGTTGTTGTACCAGAATTGAACCCTCAGGGGTACTTAACCACTGACCCACATCCCCAACCCTTTTTTATTTTTTTGAGACAGGGTTTGCTAAGTTGCTTAGGGCTTCACTAGGTTGCTGAAGCTTGCTCTGAACTTGAAATCTTTTTGTTTCAACCTCCCAAGTCACTGGAATTACAGGTGTGTGCTTGTATGCCCAACTACAGTTTGCTTTTTTGCCTGGCTGCCAGGAAGCTCAAGACAAACCTGAAGTTCAACTCCACAGCAGCTCTATTAATCCTTATGGTTAACATGTTTCCTTCTTCCTTAGTACTGGGTTTTTATTTCTTGCTGTGAACCATCTTTAAATCCCACTTGGAAAGAGGTAGTATATAGCTACAATCAATTTTTTTTCCTCAATGCTATTCTCCATAGGGCCAAGAGCCTGGCTGGCAGAGCTTGGGTGGTTCTGTGTTCCCATCCCCAGAGGAGGTACCATCTGTTGCCACCCCTGGCACTGAGCCCACTGGCACCTCAGAGCCACTGGAAACACGCACTGTGTCAGCAGAGCTATCCAGTCCATGGGCTGCTGGGGACTCGGATCAGAGTGAGTACTCTAGTGTATGTGTATGGCTGTGTAAGAGAGGACAATGGGAAAGGTCAGGGCTAGGGCTCATTCTCCTGCCTCCAGCAGGTACTGATGCTCTGACAGACCCAGTCACAGATCCTGGACCCAATCCGTCCAATGACACAGCCATATGGCGCCGCATCTTCCAGTCTTCATACATCCGGGAACAGTATGTGCTTACCCACTGCTCTGCCAGCCCTGAGCCAGGCCTGGGTTCCACAGGCAGCAGTGAGTCTCCTGGCTCCCAGGGCCCTGGCTCCCCGGAGGGCTATTTTCCCTTGGATCCTCCCTCTCAGCAGGGCTGCCGCAGCCTGGCCTGGGGAGAATCTACAGGCTCCCGTTCCTGCCCCCTGCCTGCACCACCACAGTCTCCATTCAAGGTGAGATCCAGCCCACATTCAACCATCATGTATCCAGCGTTTATTTACCACCTGTTGTGTGCCAGACATTATGCAATGTTTATCAAGTCTAGATAGATAAATGGCTAAATTTATAATGACGATACCATGCAATAATCAGTGATGAATATTGGGGCTCCAAATTAGGATGGCTAATTCTGTCAGAGGGAGTCAGGAAAGTAAAAGCCATGTCTGGAATAAGTAGAAGAAGTTAACTAGGCAAAGAAGGGGATATAAACAAAAACAGATAAACAACAACCTGAAGTGGGCAATAGGGAGTAGAGTGAGATGACAAGGGGCATGTAGCCCACCATGTATTTTTGAAGGCTGGGGATTCTGCAGCCCCTGACCAGTGGCCCCACATCTCTCTCATGCAGGCAGGAGCCCTGAGTGCTGAGGTGCTGGGCCGTAGGCATAGAGCAGCTCTGGCTGGCCGAAGTCTCTCATCTCCACCAGGCCAGGCAAACCCAGTCCCTTGCCGACCCCGGCAACCTTCTCTGGGTGCAGTACCAGATGTGCCAGGCCCTGAGTCAGGCCAACAGCTTGGGCAGGGCCTGGACGACTCAGGTAAGGGCTGGAAATGGAGCTGGGTTCTCTAATATCAAGGAGACTTGGGGAGGGCTGGGGATGTGGCTCAAGGGGTAGCGCGTTCGTCTGGCATGCGTGCGGCCCGAGTTCGATCCTCAGCACCACATACAAAGATGTTGTGTCCGCTGAAAAAACTAAAAAATAAATATTATAAAAAATAAATTTATATATATATAAAAAAAAGGAGGCTTGGGGACATGGAGCCCAAGACACTACACTGCCAATGTCCCTGCCATCTTTTCTCCCTAGGAAACCTGCTCTCCCCAGCCCCCATGGACTGGGACATGTTGATGGAACCACCCTTCTTGTTCACAGCTGTGCCCCCAAATAGGGAACCAACCCCTCCAGCAGTTCCAGTGCCTCCCCAGGCTCCACGTTGCCATGTGGTCATCCGGGGCCTGTATGGGGAGCAACCAATGTGCTGGGAGGTGGGTGTTGGGCTAGAGACACTGTGGGGACCTGGGGATGCCTCAAAGCCTCCATCAACTGCTGTAAGAGAAGCTGCTTGGGACCAAGCACTTCACCGACTGACAGCAGCCTCAGTGGTCCGAGACAATGAACAGCTAGCGCTCCGAGGAGCTGAGACCACAGCTGACCGGGGTGAGTTGCTAGTGGCCCAGTTGGAGCCTAAGGGCATGGGACAGAAAGCAGCAGAGGTATGTCTCTGTTAGATCACTCTTTTCCTCACTTTGCTCATAAAGGATTCAGGTGGCTTGAGATTAGAAATCAAGCAGGACAATGGGAAAAAATGAAAATAAAGGGAGCCAAGAATTAGGTTATATTAACAATGTATACCATGAAGTTGTATATCCATAAAAGCATGGGACTCAAGCCTGATAAGCTTCCTAGCTGCCAATACAGAGGAAAATATGATTTTGTAATAATTATCAGTGCCTGCAACACAGAAACAAATCTTTGTCATTCTGAAAATGACTATTACAATTAGTTAAAATTCTAGTTCCTTGATTGCACCAGCCACACTTGAAGTGCTTGGAAGTCACATGTGACGAGTGGCTACCATATTGGATAGTGCAGACAGAAAATTTCCATTCCCTCAGAAAAGTTCTTTTGGACACTGTGTAATGAGTGGAGGAAAGAGTACCCAGCAATGTTCCTTTGGTGGTGTCTAGACTGTTGAGTTTCTGGGTAGCTAGGGGTTTCTAGCTCTGCTTGTCATAGCTGGTTCTAGGCCTGAGAAGGGCACTTTACTACTCTGTTTAAAAGTAGACAGAGGGAGAAGATGTGGGGAACATGGTTTTTCTATGTAGCCCTCTGTAGAGGGTGGGAATTCAGCATGCTGCTCCTTGGATTCACAGGCCACGCCCGAAGGTCCTGGCTTCGAGCCCTTCAGACAAGCAAGGTCAGCTGTGCTCCCTCCTGTTTCACCTGCCCAGTAGCTGTGGATGCTACTACTAGGGAGGTCCTGCCCGGAGTCCTGCAGGTGCGGAGCTCAGGTAGGAGTCCTCCCTTGGTGATCTCTTAGGTACAGTTCTCACCTAACTACCTGTGCAGACAAACCTGACTCCTGTCTCCTATGCCCCTGCAGAATCGGCTGAACCCCCAGGCACTTACGTCTCTCAGGGCCATCTAGATGCAACTTCTCTGCCCACTTCAGCCCACCCTAAAGGTATAGCCCAAATGTGGGGAAAGGGTAGCTCAAGGCTGAGGGACTACCAGTTGACACTGGCTGGCCCCACCACAAAAATTCAGGGAGGCTCTCTGGTAGGCACCTGGGACCTGGACCAAAATGACAACTCCAAGTCAGCTTTGGGGGAGCCAACAACTCCCACTGGAGGTCCTCACCACCTGCCCTATCAGCCTTCCTCGAGGCTCAGTCTGAGCCGCCGACGGAGACTCTGTAGTCCCAAGGCTGGCCAGGCCAATGGAGGCAACAGTGGAGGCATCGACCACGACTACATGCCCTTGGTGAGGACTCGGGAGGTGGAGGGTAGTGTCACCAGAGCTAGAGTGATGTCTCAGCTCACTTCTCCCCCCACCTCCTCTCTCCTCAGGTGCGGCTACAAGAAGCACCAGGCTCCTTCCGTCTGGATGCATCCTTCTGTGCTGCTGTGCATATTCCCCAGGAGCGCCTGTGTCGTGCTTCACCCTTTGCTGCGCACCGTGCCAGCCTCAGCCCCACCTCTGCCTCATCTCCCTGGGCACTTCTGGGCCCTAGTGTTGGCCAGGGTGACAGTGCCACAGCCTCTTGTAGCCCGTCCCCCAGCTCAGGCTCAGAGGGTCCAGGCCAGGCAGACAGTGGGCGGGGTTCAGATACTGAGGCTTCGGAAGGAGCAGAAGGGATAGGAGGCTCAGATCTTCGAGATCGCACCTGGGCCACAGCTGTGGCACTTGCGTGGCTGGAGCACCGCTGTGCGGCTGCCTTTAGTGAATGGGAACTGACAGCAGCCAAGGCAGATTGCTGGCTGCAGGCCCAGCACCTGCCTGATGGTCTTGACCTGGCCGCCCTCAAGGCTGCAGCCAGGGGACTCTTCCTGCTGCTACGCCACTGGGACCAGAACCTGCAGCTGCACCTGCTGTGCTACAGCCCAGCAAATGTGTGAGGGCAGCCCTCCACTGGGACTGGTGTCCCCAACATACTCAATTCACTGCCGCCCAGGCCGGCTGCTCGGTGCTGGGAAGAGGTAGGCTGGTGTCAGCCTGTCCTCCATTGCTTCTCATTCCCTCCCTAGAAATCCTCTTACCTTCACAAAAAGTGCCTGCCAGTGCTCTCTCCTTCTCCTCCCACCTTGTGCCCCTTCCTCTGTGTAGCACAGGGGAAGGAGAGAGAGCCACAGTCCCCAAATCCTATGCAATAAAGTGCCTCTTAGGACTGCCTGAGTAAGCTCTTTATCTGCTGGGTACATACCCCTCACAGCCTGGTCCAGGCACTAGCTACTCCTATCTCCATGTAGGCTGCACAGAAGTTGACTTGGAAAGGTTTATTTGAAAGGGCACAGAGTCCATTCCACCAGGGTCCTGAGAGTGGACTGGAAGGAAAGGGGTAGATTTCAGTGGGCTTTCTTGATGTGCTGGATGTTCTTGGGGAAAGGCTGCGGGCCCAGCCAGAGCTGCAGCAGGATGACAGCATGGCATATGTGCAGGGCAGCAGAGCTGCAGGATGTAGATGGGTATGTATTCCAGGAGAGCTCGATGAGCCCCAGCACCAGCAACCTAGAGATCAGAAACAGGCCCCAGGTTTGGTCCAGTTTCAAGACCAACAGTCCTTTGACTTCTCATGCCCTAGACACATCCCCTAGCCCTTCCCACTCCCCCAGGCTGTCCCAGCCAGTACCTGAGCAGGTGTGTGAGCCAGTGTGCAGGCATGGCCCACAGGAGGTAGGGCAGTGTGTGGAAATACCAGACATAGAATTGGTAGTGGAGAGAGCGGCTGAAGCAGACACCAATGAAGTTGGAGGTGAAGAGGGTAGAAACAATCTGTATGGGATGGTCAAGGCCAAGGGCAGGAATAGAAGGTACAGGAGTTGGGGGGGGTGTCCCCAAAAGGGCAAAAGTTTTGGGGTCAGAAAGCCCCCTGGTTCTGCCATTCTTAGATGCATACCCTGGGCAAATTTCTCAACTTCTCTGGACCTGTTCCTTAATCTAACAGGGAGATGCTAATACCTAGAACCATAAAGCCTAGTGAGTTTGAATCTCTCCACTAGCTATGTGATGCTACTTAACCTCTTAAAGCCTTTATTTTGCTTTTTAGAAAATGAAGATAATAAGAGTGTCTCCTTATCTCTTGTGAGCTTCAAATGTTTGAATGTATATACATCTTAGGATACCAGGCAGGGAGTGTGTACACTATCACAGAAGCTCAATATTTAGAATTAAGAATAAACTGTCAGGCGCAGTGGCACATGTTTGTAATCCCAGCTGCTCAGGAGGGTGAGACAGGAGGATCATGAGTTCAAAGTCAATCTCAGCAACTTAGTTGAGGCCCTAGGTAACCCAATGAGACCCTGCATCTAAATAAAATATAAAAAAGGGCTGGAGATGTGGCTCAGTGGTAAAGTGGCCCTGGGTTCAATCCCTGGTACCCAGAAACAAAACAAAAGAATAAACTAAGCTTTGATACGTAAAGTGCTCAGTACAGTGTTTGGTACAGAAGAGGAGCTCTGTGAATGGATTCCCCTTCACTCCCCCAGGTTATCAGCCATCTGAGGTCAACAGACCTGAGACCCCACCTTGCACCTGAAGAGTACAAGACTTACCTTTCCATTATTTAAAGGATATGATTGGGTGTGAGGGGCTGGGGTGGAACCTTCCTTTTGGAGGGATCCTTCAGCAGCGACAGGATACTTTCCCCAGTCCTGGGGAGAAGTCATTCAGACATTTATCAAGCTTCCATCGTGGGCCAAACTCTAGACTCATCCCCATGAGTTTAACATCTCCCCAAGTAGCTCCTAAAGCTCAGGCCTTTCCCCCAACCCTGTCCATCGCACTGCCTGTTTCTTACCTGTGCCATCTGCAGAGGGCAAACAGCAAGAGCAGGGTGAGGTGGGCAGCCAACAGGGCCAGGTGGAAAGCTCTATGCAGGAATAGGGCCTCAGGGAGGAAGCGCCAGTTTACTGTCCAGCGGAAGAGAAACTGGCGGCCAAGATCAAAGGAGCGGGATAGATAGCCAATGGGGTTCTCCAGCAGGAAAGGGAGCCCCAGCACCACCTGAGAATGAGTGTGATGTCAGAAGAGCTGCCAAGGCTTACCCCAGCCTCCATGATAATCAATGAGGGGAGTGGGAGTGGATGGAGGTCTCAGAGGTTCCCTAATTTCTATCAGGAATAGTAAAAAATCCATCCTCCACAACGACCTCAGATTAGAGCCTGGAACCAAAGAGGCTCTGATCTGAGCTTCTTTGCAGGTAATAACAGGAAATAATCCTAACCTGATGCTTTAAGGTTAGGATTAACCAACTCACAAGTAGACAGAACTGGAAAGCCTCTCGGAGGCCAACTACTTCAACAGTCTTATTTTAGAGTTAAGGAAACTAAAGCTGCCCATCTCAGAATCAACTCCCAAACCCTGTCTCTCAGTTTGAGAAAGTCTCAAGTAACAGAAGAAGGTCAGATTAATGGCCTCCTCATCCATAAAGGGAAGGGTGAAGAAGGGATACCTGAAGGACAGCACAGATGCCCAGCTTGGGGAGGGCACCACGGAAACCAAACTGCGTAAGGAGAAGGAACAGTAAACCAGGGGCGAAGAGTAGCACATTCATCTTCACGGAGACCGCCAGGCTGAAGTGGGCAGGGGAGAAGAAGGGTGAAGATCAGTTCCAAAACTCTTTATCCTGCCTGAAGATGTACCACCATCATCACAGCAATTCCTGGCCTCCCACCAGCAAGCTTCAGGATGAGGTCCTCACTCAGAACTGCTGAGGGAGGGTTAGATAGCTTGGGAGGAGGCTGGAGGAAGGGGACAGGTATGTAGTCCCTCTGCCCAAACTGAATGAGCACATACTGATGTATTTAGAAGTTCAAGGACCAACCCCAACACTGGATGAAGAGAAAGAGGGGAAGAGGGCTATACGTGGGAAGGGACATGGAAGATAGAGGCTTTCTAGACTTGCTTGTGGAGCCCTGAGTGACCTACATTATCTGTTCACTCCCTTATTCCCTCTGCTACAGAAAATTGGGGAGAAAGAGTTGGAAATGCAGAAAGTGAGAGAAGGGGCCTGAGTGGAGGGGTGTCAACCTGAAACAGCAGCAGCCCCAGCCCCAGCGCTGGGCCAGGAAGAGGTTGATACTGAGGAAAAGCAGCGCCATGGCCACTGGGTCATTGAAGAGCCGCAGCACGAAGATGGAGTGGACCCGGTAAGAAGCGCAGCACATGAAGAAAAAGACGAAGGGAGGTACCTGAGGGATGGGCACGGTGGGGAATAAGGTCAATTCCCCCAATCTGAGCCATCCCCATAACCCACCATCCCTCTGATTCTAGCATGGACTCACCTTACAAGTCTGGTGGTAGATTAAGAAAACGAGTAGCAAAGTCACCAGGTAAAGCACAGCAAAGATATTCTGTGCCATGCGGATATCAGTGCCCTGGCCAGTGGCATAGTAGAGTCCCATAAAGATGTACACGAAGCCAGCTGGGTAGCTGGAAGATGAAGGGGAATGTGAGACTAGGTCAGGCTAATCAGCCTGATACCCAGCTAGCCCTTCGCATTCTCCCTCAACCTCCTATAATAACTCACACAAGAGGTCCAGTGTCACCCTGCAGTTGTGTATAGTCATATGTGCCATTGATGACGCCTTCCACCTGGGCCATGTAGGCCTTCCAGTCAATCTCTGTGTCTGGAAGAGGATAAGATGGTCTGGTTAATTTTGAATCCAGAATTTGCCTGCCCCAAAGCACCAGGCCTCCAGAACATCAAAGCAGAGTTCCAGCTCATTCCCAGGACTTCCATCTCTACTCCTTATCTAACTGCCTACTCGCTGGGTGAACTCAAGCATCTCAAACTATGTGTCTATAATTGAACTCATGATCTTTCCTCCCACTCCAAATCTACTCTCTTTCTTGGGTTTCATTAATAGAACAACCAACCTCCTACCTGCCCAGGTCATGAAGCTGGAATACATCTTTGATACATTTTCCTCCTTCATTCTAACCCTTGGTCAACAAATTCTGTTTTTTCATCCTAAAGATCTCTAGTAGTTCATCTTTCTTTGATACTACATAGTCAATTTGGGGTCTAACATAATCTGTAGCCTCAACAACACAATAGTATCCTAATTAGGCCTGGTTTCTACTTTTACTCCACTACAATGCATATTCTACCCTGCCCAAAACAGTTTTCTCGAAATAAAAATCATTATGAGGTCTCTCTACTTAAAAAACCTTCAGTGATTTCCCAAGGCTCTAAAGATAAAGATCGATCTCTATTATTCCTATTTTTTAGAAAAGGAATCTAAAAGTTAATTAGGTTAAATGACTAACTTAAGAATTAGAAAGGATAGAGTTGGGGGCCCCAAGTTTTTAACCACCATGCTGTCTCCTTACAACACTGTTAAATTTCTTTATGATCTGATCTCACAATCTGCTCTCTCATTACTATTCAAATCAGTTTCCACACTGCAGCTCTAAAAAAACATAAGTTCTTCAAAGGAATCATTCTCTGTTTTGACTGGAGGTTTTTGGTACAAGATCCTCTCTGCCATCCCCTTCCTTCCTTATTCTTTCCTTATCTGGCTAGTTCTTATATACCTTTCAAGAGGGGCTCTATAAAACTTCCCCCTACTCCTGGTGTCTGGCCCTCCTAAGTCATTGCTGCCCTTCCCCACCCACCATCAGGGATTGAGCCCAGAGGTGCTTAACCACTGAGCCACATTCCCAGCCCTTTAAAAAAAATTATTTTATTTTGATACAGGGTCTCCCTAAGTTGCTGAGGCTGGCTTTGAACTTGCAATCCTCCTGCCTCAGCTGCTGAGCCGCTGGGATTACAGGCAAGTGCCCCCCGTGCCTGAACCCTCCTAAATTCTTATAACACTCTGTCTTATTACTATCAAGATGAATATGATACATTATAATTACCTACTAACATTTTAGTTCAGACCCATATACCCAAGTCATAAATACATCTCTCTTATTCACCACTGTACTCGTGGCACATAACATAATGTTAGGTAATTAAAAAAAAGAGAAGAAAACATAATGTTAGACATATGACAAGCACTCAATATGTTCTCAATGAAAAAGTCCTTAACAAGAAACAGAGGTGCCTCAAGCCCAGAGTCTAGATTCAGCCTGGAAAGAACAACTAATAATGCCTAACAGATTCAAGTGGTCACAAAATGCCATCATAGAGAAGGGACTTCGAAGACCTCAGAATTTAAATGGTTGGTAACGTCAAGATCCGGGAAGGGAAGTGACGTGTCCAAGTTACAGAGACAAGCAGCAGTAGCATCACACTAACTCTGACCCAGAACTGACTTCCAGGCTGCTTTTTTTTTTTTTTTTTTTTTAGCCTGGCAGGCTGTATGATCAGGGTAGAAGGCCAACCTTTAGGGTTGCCCCTCGTCACGGGAGCAGGATTAAGGTCACCCTGCCTGTGGAGCAAGTTTGGGGCTCCGATAAAGGATATGACTCTACAGATGATGAATGAGTGCTCTAGAGGTTACTTTTGAGTCCAGGTCTAGGACCCACTTTAGGGTAGGGGTTCGGGTCTCCCTCCCTCCCCCCCCCCTCCATTTCGGCGCACTCACATGCTACCCTGTGAATGACCCAGAAGGTGATGCCCACCTCTGCCAGGCAGAGGCAGGAGGCCACCCGCAGCGTGTAGCGCGGCTCCCAAAGCAATAAGCGCCGCTCTTGCCAGGCGCGTTGTAGCCACTGTCCGCAGACTCCCGCCGGCTGGGCCGCGGAACCCGCCCGGCTGCGTTTCCGCAGCCCAGCCGCCATGTTGACGGTGCGCCGCTCTAGTTGGTCCACCACCCCGGAAATCCAACCCTTCGACACTTCAGTTCCGTTCCTCTTCTCCGGGTCTAACGCCAAACTTAGCGCTGATCCAAATAGCCAGAGTACTTTACTACACTAAAATTTATTTCTTTCGTATCTGTCTCCTCCGGCGGAACACACACCTCGAAATAGCAGGAACAAAGTTTTACTCTTCAGTATATACCCAGTCCTGGGCACACATGCTCTAATACAGAACGAATGTCTGCTCCGAAAAACAAAAGTTTTGTTCCTCGCAAGCCAAGCATTCCACTTCCCCTATGCTGGGAATACTTGTGTTCATGCTGGAGGCCAAAGTCGGTCTGCACCCATCCCGCTTCCCTTCTGGGCCTTCTAGGTGCTCAAGAACTGCTTGGGAAGAAGTGAATTTTCAGTTTGTTTTCAGTTACTAATGGAAGGAGCCGTTCAAACTGAAACATAGGAGGGCAGTGGTGAGCCTAAGAAGTCTGGCGCTATAAGTGTGGCCAGTGAAGGCGACTAAGCAGTACAACCAGAAGACTGCGAAAGTAGACGATGATTCGGATTTCCAGCCGGAGGATTCTTCAAAGAACGCTTAGCAGAAGACGGAAGTTCCACGTGTTTGTGTTGAGCAACTGCAGGTGGTGGGCGGAGACACAAGGGTCCCGCCCACCACATCCCAGCCTCCGGATTGGCTGCGTAGGTCGGGTACTGGAGAGTGCCTGGAGAGTGCCCAGAGAGTGCCTAGAGCATGGCCTCTCCCTGGGCCCTGGCCCCCGGGCCGGAGTTACCCGAGCAGAACTTCGAGTACTGCGAGGTTCAGTACTGGGACCAGCGCTACCGAGGCGCGGCGGACTCTGCGCCCTACGAGTGGTTCGGGGACTTCTCCTCCTTCCGTTCCCTCCTAGAGCCTGAGCTGCGGCCGGAGGACCGTATCCTCGTGCTAGGTGGGTATCCCCAGAGCTGTCCCGGCCAGGAGATCAGGCTGCATCAGGCCTGATCTGACCTCATCCGCTTTCTCCTTGTCTCTTTGCCCCTCTCAGTGGACCCCAGTGGGAAGCTAAGATCCAGTACCTCCGAATCCAGCTGTAGTTAGCCAGGGCAAACAGGAGTGATCCTGGACCCTGTTCCGGACTCTTGGGTAACCTCTGGCCAAGGAGAAGGCAGAGGACCTAGTTCAAGTCCCAATACAAATTGGCAGTATAACTTAGGACAAGTAATGAATCCGTTGTGAGCGTCAGTTTCATTTTTAGAAATGGGATTAGGATTTCATACAAGATAATACAAATGCATCTTTGTTTAGCGCTTTTCTTTTTGCACCAGTTGGCACCAGGAACCATTGATACCTAGAGGGAGTTAGCACTCTCCAAACCCTGACTGAAACTTTGTCCTATGCTCAGTGTGAAGTGAAGGTAAAAACAGCGCCCTCTGAGATCGAAGTGGAGATTGCGGCCAAGATTGGTGTGATTTCCTGTGGAAAAGAGGTGCTGGGATGCAAAGTAGGGCTCTGAGAGGTCCAGTTGCTCCACTAGGAGTTCTCTCCTCTGTCAGCTTTGGAGGCACATAGTGAAGCTTGAATGAGCAAAGGTTTTCCTACCAATTATAGTTTTTATTTTTCAGCGTCAAAGTCTTTGTAAGTGAAATATTTGATACCTGTCATACCATATATATGTAAGATATGAATAATAAATCTGATGCGTGTGTGTGCTCTTAGGACTAGAAAGAAGTATAACCTAGTGGTGAGGAATTTGGGTTCTGGCCAGGTGCAGTGTGATCCCAGTGAATCTGGAGGCTGAGGCAGAAGGATTGCAAGTTTAGTGCCAACCTCTGCAATTTAGTGAGAATCTCAGTAATTTAGCAAGTTCCTGTCTCAAAATAAAAATAAAAAGCGTTAGGGATGTACTCCATAGTAAAGTGCCTCTGAGTTCCCTCCCAGTACAAAAAGAGAACTTGGACTGTGGAAGTTGCTAATCATGTTTGGAATTTTGGCTCATCTAATTCTGGCTGTGTGTTGTCATCAAAGTACTTAAATTTCTGTACCTCCATTTTCCCAGCCTCTAAAAAATGAGTACTTAAATATTGATTTTCTAAGGTGATTGAATGAATGTGAAAGAGCAAGGCCTGGCACAATAAGCCTCATGTATATTTAAGGTTTTCTGTGTAATTCCTCCCAAAACCCCTTCTTCCAGAGGTAAATGTTCATGAATTTTGTGATTGTAAACTAAATGATTTATGTATAGATTTACCATAGAGCTATTTTTTAAAAATGTAGTGTGCTTCAAAATAACCTGGAAAGCTGGACCCCCACCCTGAGATTCTAATTCCAGGGATGGGTTCTAGGAATCTATTTATTTTCTCCTTCCTTCCTTCCTTCCTTCCTTCCTTCCTTCCTTCCTTCCTTCCTTCCTTCC